CCATCCATCCATCCATCCATCCATCCATCCATCCATCCATCCATCCATCCATCCATCCATCCATCCATCCATCCATCCATCCATCCAATTAATTATTATTTTCAAAGTTCTAAGCTAATTCAATTTAGTAAGAATAGACAAGAATGGCTCGGTTTGTAAAGTTTTGGTGACCACCTCTGTAGTCGATGAGTAGGCCAACTAATCCGAATAGTCCTTGTTACTACATAATTAGGTGATCCTTTAAAGGGTTTTTAAGAGTTATTAATACACTAATAAGACAGGAAATCATTTTCCCTTCACAGTTGTGTCTCTTGTTTTGTTAATGACAAGATGTTTAAGAAATAAGACAAAGATCGAGCTCTCTAAGCCGATATGATCAACATTCACAACTTTTCCATCAGGCAGCCCTTGTTTTATTGTATGGTAGATTTGGAAAGATATATAAAACTGTTATTAACTTAAAATATGCTAACACATTTCATTTTTAAAAGTGCATGTTGTGTTTTCATCTCTTAAAAAAAGATCAACAGTTGATAAAAGCACACCATGCTCTATAGATTTAGTATTTTAGAGAAAATCTGGGTTCTAAAGTGCATTTCTGTGGTTTTATTCACTGCATTAGCAACAAAGAGAAGACATTCTTAAACCGGAGGTTAGGACCTGTTCAGCGATTAAGATAGCTGAAGGCAACATAAGCTGTTTGTTTTATGTGAGGTTTGGAACTTTTGTTCAAATTATGTATTTATGCAATACCCCAAAAGATTGTAGGTGAATATGTTTTTTAAAAACAAAAACCTTTAGATTCTCAAATACAGTAATTCTTTAACAGTAATCAGAATGTGAAGTAAGCATTCATTGTTCGGTGCCACTGAGCAACTGTTAAACTAAATAATTTGCATTCAAAGAGCATAATGTAATCATTCAGGTGTAGTACAGTAAACACACCTCCCGTAGGAAAAAGCTCCTCCCACTTCCTGCACACCTGCATATAGAGTCACCTGTGGCTGGTATCAGCAACACAGAGCCTTCTGCCTTCTTCTGGGAAACATCTTAACTCCATCTGAACTGAAAACTGGTAAGAAGAAAACTATTTATAGAAATACTATGATGATTATTGTATTCTAGTAAATAAGACAATGTATTTTTTAAGATTATTACCTTGTATAGAAATTTAAAGTTACATCTGATATCATTTACACATTACATCCATATTCTAGAAATTCATTGTAAAACCTGATGGACAATTTTACTAAAAGTTTCTTTGTGAAACCATTTTTTTTAAATTTGTTTCTTTCAAAGCTGTCATGACAGCTACCTGTCAGCTGGTAGCAAGCTGATATGAAAAACTGAAATGACAGTCCATTTCCTGCAGAACAAAGTGTCTCCTTGTGCAGGTGGAATTCCTCTGAATATTTTCTGGATCATTTTCCCAAGTTCTATCTTTCATCTGAACAATCGCAGCCTGTCTCCCGCTGTGGGTCTTTTGTGGTGTTGTGGGAACGGTATTGCGAGGATCAAGTGACAGAGACACAGAGATGCTCACTTGACCACTAATCAGCCACTGAAGCCTTGCACAACACACCCACACACATACACAGGTACAAAGATACACTGCCTTAAACTGTTTTACATCTAAACAGCAGTTTACCATGCCTGTCGTTCAGGAAGTGAGGAAAAGCACCTGTTTAAAGAGAGACAATCTTAGATCCAAGCATTCTGGCACAAATCATTAACCCTGGTAAGATTTTGTCTTCTTTTCAATTCAACACAAATCTTATTATCGCAGTAAAAGGCTCTAAAAGAGTCCTCAGCTCTTCCCGAGAGGCTCTTCCTTGACTCAGAGCCAGGCTTTGCTCATTTGCATTTTGATTTCATGATGGCTGGAGTTGAAGCTGAATTTGCACACAGCTGAGAATAACTCGCTGAAGTGGCTGTAGCCGTAAAGCCGTCCATCTCTTGGATGCAGATGGTTCGTCTGAATGGCCACTCATGGCCTGTAAATTCACTCACTGAAAAGCTTCTTTCATCACTCTCAGTGGGCGATCAGTGGAATTGACTATTAGGCCCTACTTGTGTTTCCATTAAAAGAGGCCGGCCAAAGGCAGCAGTAAAGCCCATTTGCTTAAGGGCTTTTCCTGAAACTAGATCCAGTGTGAGAGACGCCTTAAATGACTTAAAAAGGTCATTCAGATTGACATTTAAACTTGTGTGTGTTTTCACAAAGATTAATTTATAAATGTTAATTATTTAGAGCCACCAGAGAGAGTGATACATCTATTCCTTTTATACTTTATACAAAGGGATTGAACACTTTAAATTTAAAACTTTAAAATACCCCTTTACTGTAACAGTGTCAGAAGCTGTTATAAAACACCAATGTCAATATAAAAATTAATAGAAAATGTGTCTTCAGTGCAACTAAAGCTTGCTGTCCTCTGTTCTCACAGCTGCTCATCATGGCCTCTAGCATGTCTGTGAGAAGCTTCTCCATGAACCGCCCCTCGTTTTCCAGTCGTTCCCTGATGGACACAGGCCGGTCTCGGTCCAGGGCCTCTGTTTCTTTCGCTGCGGCCAGCCCACTGACCCGTTCAGCCTCCATCAGCCAGGATCTCAACGGACCAGTGAGCCTCCAGCTAAACGGACTGCATGGCAACAGCACCAATGAGAAGGAGGCCATGCAGAGTCTCAACAGCCGTCTGGCCAACTACCTGGATAAGGTACCAGGTGTAATAGAGAAGAGCATTGTAAGGTCACAGGAAATTGGAACCTGAAACACTTTCTCTTTTTTTTTTGTGTTGTTTCTTTAAGGTGCGTTCACTGGAGCGCTCCAACGCTGACCTGGAGATGAAGATCAAGCAGCTGATGATTGAGCGCATTCCCAAAGGTCATGATCTGGATTCAATGATGGCCCAGGCTCATGCTGTTGAGCAAGAGGTGGGGACGAAGGGATGCGTTGCCACTTGGAACAGACGACAATTGACTTAGTTGTTCAGCAATGCTGAAAATAATCCCTTTAACTGCATAGTATTACAAAAACATGATGGTAGCAATTGTATTTAAGCACAATTAGGTGCCTGAAATCCAAAGAAATGTGATCCAAAAGGAAATTATACTGAACATTTTGCTCCTAAATAAACAGAATTACATCCTTTTTTGAATTTGTATGGAATTCTGCTAAGCATGTGCAATAAAAAATGAACTAAATTCCATTTTTATTGCACCAGCATATCACATCAAATACCCTACTGCATTTCTCTTTTTTTTTTAGATTATCCCCTGACTGCACGAAAGGGAAAACAAATTGGAATTACAGCTAATTTCCCGTAGCAATTTCCTAACATTTGAGGGTCAGCAAACAGCTAATTTACTTCAATTGTATGTTGTTTTTTGAGGAGTGACTAAGAAAAACAAGCCATAATTTAGGGAGAAAGGTTGTAACAGATTTTTACCAAATATTTTCTGACACTAAATGAAGAAAATGGATTAGAAGTGATATAACTGACCACGTTTCAATTATTTTTATAAAAATTCTAGATGTTACCCCAAAAATGTGACAATGGGAATTCTGTCTATAAAGAAATATTGCAATGTTTCTTTACTTTTATGCCATGATTTCTGTCCTGAGTTGTCAATATTTACTTAAAATATGAAACATATTAAAACGTAAACTATCTTTATACTTGGCATGCAATAAGTTTTTTCAATATTCCAGCATTCAATCTTTGAAAATCATTTATTTTACAAAACAAATGTAATTAAATCCAATGTTGGGTATAAATGAGCTACATTGCTGTATATATATCTTTAAAAGGTCATAACCCCTAAGGAATGAGTTTCAGAACAATACAAGCATTCAGCTTTCCCTCTGAGGATTAATGACCTGTGTTTAACCACTGTTAATATTCATCAGGTGAGGAAGAAGACCTTGGAAAACGCTCGTCTCATGTTAGAGATCGATAATGCTAAACTGGCCGCTGATGACTTCAGAATCAAGTGAGTGTTTAATGATTACATCCCAATCAGTACAGTTTTTGTTGTGTATGTGATAAAAACTGTTAAATGTCTATTGAGTGTCATAATTTCTAATGCTTTTGCTCCTATTTTTGTTTCAAACAGCCGGAATCTTAAGTATTTCTTGGATCTTCTCTTCTTAATTGCAGAAAAATGCAGTGTAAATATTCGAAGCATTTATTCTTGATAGCCTAATAAAATATGTAAACTACTGTATTTTATGAGCTGTCCAACCTGAATAAAATCACAGACCTTAGAATTGCCAGATTTATAGTAGCATAAAAATTTCATGGCCTGCACCCTTCACCTTTCTGCTTTTTTCTTACCACACTATATCTAATCTTAACGTCATACAAGCTGCATCTGAGAAATACAAAATGGATTGTTCAAATTTTTATTTAATTTATCAGGGAAAGCATTATACTTCCCATCCTGCTCCTCTGTGAAAAAGCATTTGACTTTGACGGTTGTCGGTTGGATATGTTCCACCATCTTCTTTGCAAAATTGCACAACTGATTTACCCTTTTTTTTTTACAGTCAAAACAAAACAACTAAATATAAACACTTTTTTTAGTAGCTGTTCAAAGGTGCATTTTTGCAGTTGCTTGTGTCACGAGTGAGCTTGAGCTTAAGGTCACAAGATATATTTTACGTCAGCATTCTTTTCTTAAAAGATGATTTCCTCATGCTATCATTTAAGCCCGGTCGTCAAGGTCCTGAGAGCATCAAAGCAGCCGTCACTTCATCACCACCATGTTAGACTGATGATGTTGAACTTTATTGAGACAAGTGAGGTTTACAATGCTTAAAATGTTTCCTGTGGGCTTTTGTGGCCTCCTGATGATGCTTTTTCATGTCATGGCTCTTGATGTGCTTTAATAGAGCCTCAAAACCTCAGAAACAGCTCTGTAAGCTTTCTAAAACTGACATAAGTCTCATGTCTTAATTACATCCTTTATGTTGGGGAATGTTGTGTTGATTTTTATGCTGTTAGATTGGCCCCATTTAGTGATTTCTCCATTATACAGGTCTGGTATAATGTGGCATCTGAAACTACGGTAAAAAAATTGGTAACAGTTTGGTTATGCTCATTCCAAAAAAGTTAAAAAAATAATACACTGGACTTTTAAACTTGAAAACAAAGTCCAGTGGATTGTTTTTTAACTCTGTTTTACTGGGTGAAATTGTATGCCAATAAAATCACATGATAGCTTTTTTCTTAAAAGAAGGAATGTTTATTCCTTTTTATTTGCTCAGATTATTGTCAACTTTGATTGGAGAGTATATATAAGTGGAACAAAACGCATAACACAGCATTGGGTACTTTTATACAGTGAATGTCTCCAATAGTAGAGTGCTGCAAAAAACTGGCACTAAGGTAAATATTTGCAATGATTACCCAGGTTAGGCCATGTGTGAAGGAAAAGGGAGACTCGCCGTCCTTCTACACACAATCTGTTGCAGATCTGCTTTAATGATATGTAATTATGTCGCCTTGAAATACCTAATGTTCTTTAACAGCAGGGAGAAGCATATTTGAAGAACCTGAACTGTTAATAGCATAGCACTTCTATGAAAAAAACATTTTCATGTACTTGTTTTTTTTTTCTATTTTAAGACCTTTCCCTCACTGTGTAAAGGACTCACTGGTGATTTAGGTGATGATGTTCATTATTGCATAAATACAGATCACAGCTAAAATATTTTACATGTAACCAATATGAAAAGTGCTCTATATAATATATGAGCAATAAACATTCATTATGTTTCCTAGTATTCAGAATTATTCCTGGAACAATAAACAGAGTCCACTCTTCTACAGAAATGAGTGTCTTTCTGAGACAATAGAGGTTTCAGAATAATTTTCTACCTTTTTCTTTTTCCTGGAATTTCCAAGGTGGGAAACTGAATTGGTGATGTGTCAATCTGTGGAAAGAGACTGTGTCGCCCTGAAAAAAGCTAAGACCGACCATGAGCAGATCATTGCTTCACTGAGAGGAGACTTGGACAGCCTCAAAGAGGAGCTTTATTTCCTCAAGAAAAACCATGAGGAGGTAAGCATCCGTTTAGTAGGGTCTACACCACGTTTGTACTGTTTCCCCCCTCCCCGCCCCGATATCTTTTAATGCAACTCACAGACAACACATTGTTTGATACAGGCCTGACCCAATTTAATGGTCTAAGTAGTTTTTGTGGAGCCAAACTGAGGTGAAACTCTGGTTGCTGTGGACAAAAGGCAAGCAGATCTGGTTGCTCCAAAACTGCACTTAGAGGGTATTAGCTTTTCTCCGCTGCCATAAGACTGTTAAAATGTTGAAACTCTAATCAAGTCACAAAACAAGACTCTGCATTACACTTGTGAACATCATATTTGCACAACATGGCAAAGTTTTCAAATCCCTTTAAACAGAACTTGACTCACTGTCTCACTGGTGAATTTGCACCATTTTCTTCTAATCACTGCTGCACTTTATAAAATGGAAATGTTCATTTCACTGCTGTAAGCTGCTCATTCACTATTGAAAAGCTGTATGCATCAACATTTTGTTTTGTATACTCTGTGTATACAAAATAAAAGGTTGTCTGAGTCTAAGTCTTGCTGCTGCAAAATGCCCTCTAAGAAAATAGCCATTGTTAATTTATTTTCCAAAGCAAAACTGCTTTAACATTTTAAGGAGTCAAGTTAGGGAGTCCGCTGTACAATTTTATTAAAAAAGCACATTAAACATGACCTTAGATAAACAAACATATATATTTTTTCAGTATTGTTAAAGTGAGCAAAAGAACGCATTCATCCTTCAAAAAAAAAAAGTTTTGGGTTTAATTTATTCAATTCTATTCTATATGTGTTACTTAGTTTGGTTCAATACTGTTTTTTTCAATTAATTTCAGTTGAGTCTAGTTGAGCTGAGTTCAGTTCAGTTCAGTTATAATTTATGAAACCCTAAAGGGAAATTCAGTTCGGAATGTGTTTAAGTTCTTCCAATGATGGAGCGGTGTGTTTTGGCTAAAGCAACTTTTTTAATGCCATTTGACCATAGAATAATATTACACAACTAGTTTTGATAGCTTTCACTTTACAAACCCAAGTTTCATAGACTGTTATCATGGAAAACTAGCCACCATATTATTATTTTTTTAATTCTATTTTAGTTGTAAGGTCGTCGACTGCATCTTACAAAAATAATATTTTTAAACCAGCATCAGTGTGTTTCGTTTTGATTCATTGTTGTTTGCATTTTTAATATTCTTAAATGAATATATATTTTTCCCTATGGTATTCATAGGAAAAGCTGCAATTGTTAACATATTCATAATCCAATTTGCTCAGATGTTTAACATTTTGCTGCCTTAAAGTCAATCATGCCCCTTTATATTTTCTTTAGTGGTTTCAGAATAAAGGGGGCTGAAAGCAAACATGCACTGCTCTTCAAAGATATTTAATAAGCATTTAATTTTTAACTTGTTCTTTTAGTATTACTCTATATAATATTAGTTTGTGACAATAAATCAACAAAATTAAATAAATAAAAACATTTAGGTTTGTGATACCAACACAACAAAATATGTGGTCTGATAGTCATGAATAAGATACTGGGGCAGAGTATTTTTTATAGAGTCTGTATGTGACAGAGTAGATGATCTAAAGAGCCAACCCAGTCTCATACACCTGTGCAGGAATAAAAGAAGCTAAGAGAAAAAAGCCAGTGGTAAGATGAGCTAAGTTCAATCAAGTATTAATGAACAATGTCTAAATAATTAAAAATCCAATCTCCAACTGAAAGTTTCAGTTTTCTACTCTCAGTTTTATGAGACTAGATGTTTGCACTGGTGATAAATGTGGCTGAAGGATTTGGTTTTAACCAAACAAGAAAAACTGTTTACGGTACAGCAAAGGCAAACATAAAGTTTCTGATCATTATGTCCCTGAAGGAACTCGAGCAGATGAGGTCTCGCATTGCCAGGGATGAAGTTAATGTGGAGGTGGACTCCGCCAGTGGGCCAGAGCTAGGTTCCATCCTGTCTGACCTGCGCTCCCAGTATGAGGGAATTGTTAAGAAAAACAAGGAACAGGCAGAGCAATGGTACCGTAAGAAGGTGTGAGGAAACACAAAGCATCTTCAGTTCATATTCACTATATATACCTTACAAAAAAGACAAAATCATATTATTAAAATATTTTCCTTATGCAGCTTGAGACGGTGCAGAATGAGGTGAAAGAGAACAACGAGGCTTTGAGAGGAGCCCAGGGAGAGCTGATTGAGAGGCAGCGCTTCCTGCAGACGCTGGAGGTGGAGCTGGACAGTCTGCACAAACAGGTGAGCAACTAGTGCTGGAATACTGTGATACTTGATGTGGAACTCTTGGTTAATATTCACCCTTGGGATGCAGAAATCTTAAAGAGTTGCATATAAAAAAATAAAGTAAGTTGAAAAAAATAAAAAGAGTCAGTGAAATCCCCTGTTTTGGAAACCGTAAAAACATCAACTTACAGTAGGCGAATGATGTAATGCAACCTGAAATGTAAAATCCCAGTTAAGCGTATTATACAGGAAAAGGAAAACAAACTGGGTTATTTAACACCGATAAAGAGAGGCTGTTTTCCAGAGAGAGAGAGAGCAACAATGAAGAAAATCCTTAAAGGATTTAACCTTCAGTCTCAACCAGACAAGTGTCTTCTTTTTTTGCGTCTCTAGTACTGTACATTTCCACACTGCTGCACTCTACAGTTTGGGATCCCTTATTTTTTTAGCTTTAAGTTTTTTTTTTCTTGTAATCCCATGTTGACAGTGAACATGTTCTCCCACGTTGATAAGACACGCAATAGCCAGTGGGATTCCGTTGCTAAATGGTACGAGGGTTACTTACTGAGCTGAGATGGCTAATTGTTTCTGAGGAGGGTGTGTTTGTTTTGGGTTCCACAGTGTTATCAGTTCTCTGAAATCTGCTGATTGTTGTTGGAGAAGCTATTTTGGATTAAATATTCATTCTTGTGGTAAGATTTCAGCAGAAAAACACCTTATGATGCAAGTGGAGGAGACTAGAAACCCACAACTTTAATGAATCACTCCAAGGCATCAACCTGCAAGATGCCACACAATGAAAACAATATTACAGTGTTTTTATATATCCAGTCCTTTAAGTTCACACAACTACCACATTTTAAAACTAATTGATATTTTACATCTATTGTAGTGATACTACTGTACATTACATTAAAGATGAATGTAAGTCAGTCTAATTATCTAAATCAGGGGTCTGCAACCTGCAGCTCCAGATCTGTATGTGGCTCTTTGGACCCTCTTTAATGAAACTCACTATATATTTTAATTGAAATTTCACAACATAATTACATTAAAAGTACCAGAATATTTTTAGAGTTATTTTATTTTTATTATTTCTTATTTATTTTATTTAATTTTGAATTTTTTTTTCTCCATAATTAGTTTTCAAATCTGGTAATTGTGTGAACCTAAGGAGCTGGATTTATAATTTCCTGTACATCAAGTAATATCAGAACAAAATCAGAACAAAGAATAAAGTTCTTATTTAAGATATAAAACTTAGTAATGGAATCCGAAATTTACTAAAAATATTAATCAAATTCATTAACTGAAAAAATATATTTAAGAAATGAGAGTAACAACTTAAACATGAGAGCTAACAAATGGAGAGATGAGGGTGACTGTTCCTCAATTTATATATATATAAAAAAAAATCTTTGTTTTTTTAGAGAAACTCTTCTAAGCTCATTAAATACCAACATTATGTTAAATATTTATTTTTTGTAAAGCTCATGCTTGCTCAGCTGTGTATGAGCAAACTATCCCTGGGTTAAATAAGAATCTTTGATCTATGGGATCATTTAAACTTCTAGATATGGTTCATTGATTTCACTTTGCCACCCCCAGATAGGAGCTCTGGAGGGTAACCTGGTAGAGACGAGTCAGAAGTATTCTGCAGAGATGGAACGGCTGCAGGTCACCCTGAATCAGATGGAGGATGACCTGTCCCAGCTCAGGCTGGACATGCAGCGCACCAAGACCGACTATGAGCAGCTTCTCCGCATCAAGCAGAACCTGGAAATGGAGATTGCTACCTACAGGCGCCTCCTTGAAGGAGAGGAAACGTGAGTAATACTAACAAAGCTTTTTTCCAGCTTCAGGCTTACAGACAACATTGCCAAACTGGTTAAATAGTTTTATTGCAATTAGCCGCACTTAAAATTCAGGCAGAAAAAATGTGAAATACATTTTGAATGATTAATCTATAATCTGGAAGATATGAGTAAAGACGATAAAACTCTTAGCTTCACTGACTTTTGTCATCTCTTTACAGCTGTGACCCACCTTGCACGCTTGCAAACATTGTTTTCTAACGGATTATGACTTGGGTTGGGTACTTTTTGTTTTGTGTGGTGATAGCGCTGAAGTAATACATCTAAGTTATACTTTAAGGTGCATAGACTGATAAATCACTTGCCTGTGTTGAGACTCAATTCCCATGAAATATTTATGCAGTATGTATATGTATATATATATATATATGCTACATATAGCCCATGTTTGCCCTCTTATGTAAAAACAACATACCGCTTATGACTAAGTCTGCAAAAAAGAGCAAACACTCATTTGTGTAAAAACCCATCCCAACTACACGTCTGAAAGCTCAGACAGTTCAGCTTTAAATCAACTTGACATTAGTAACCTGGGGGGAAGGCATCTGTTATCACAACAGATCAAGAAAAACAAAAAATACTCTGTGGTGTAATCTAAATGTAAAGCAGCAATGATTTGCAGCATATTTTGTATGTCATCATTTATTACTGCATCTTTTAGGTAAAATAATGTTATTAAAATAGATTTTATGTTATGTACCGCTCAAATGGAACCAATATATACTATTTAGATAAATCCAAAAGTATATTCCAGGTTTAAGTTAAATTGCCTCTTGTTCAATTCCTTCTCCTGTTTTGTATTCCATATGTATTAGCATATTATACTATGATTTTGTAACTTATATATTGTCTTTGGTCTTCTGCAGAATTTCTTCTTTTTTTCTGGAAAAAAGAAGACAATAAAAAAAAAGGATAAATGTAAACATTTTGGGGTTCAACAATAATTTGGGGCGTCCTGATCCAACTTTTTCCTTTCCAATGTAATACCGATATTGCAGCTTTTAGAACTGACTGATCTGGGTCAGGAAGGAGGGCAAAAAAGGACTGGAATGGACTGGTTTAATGAGAGAGACATGAAATACAGGGTGGATCTTTAACCCTTCAGGAAGCTTGAGGCTTATGGCTGAGGGACTGAGAACAGAGGTAATTTCTAATGAACCAATGAATCGTGAAGACAGTTTACAATTTGATCATTTGAGATTGATGTCACGGGTGGAAAGCCAAACTTCTTGTCCAGGTGAGTATGAAGGTGCAAAGGTTCTCTTACAATCAACCCATTTACGGTTACCCTCAGCGGCCTGGTTGAGAGCAGCATTGGTTTGTCTCCAGATGTGTCTGCAATGGCGGAGATGATGGCGGACAGAGGTGACAGATGTTTGTTGTTCGTCTGACGGGAACAGAGGCAGCTGATAACCTAGGGAAGACTCAATAGGCCAATAGCTGTTGAGGTGTGAATGTTGTGGGTGTACTCCACCCAAGGGAAGTGTACAATCCAGGATGAAGGGTGCGAAGAACAGAGACAATGAAGGGTAACCTCCTGGTTCAGACGCTCAGTCTGACCATTAGTCTGGGGATGAAACCCTGAACTGAGGGTTACCTTAGCACCAAGAGCGGGGGGGACTCCTTCCAGACCCTAGAAGCAAACTGTGGACCTCTGTCTGACAGGATCTTGGTGGGGATAACATGCAGACGAAACATATTTGGTTGGAAGATTAGCAGTTTTCATGGTGGTGGGAAGTTTACGTAAGGGAACAAAATGGCAACCCTTAGAGAAGTGATCAATGATAGTTAATATGGTGGAGAAGCCCTTTGAAGGTGGTAGTCCAGTAACGAAGTCTAATGCTACTGTATACGTGACCAAGAATGTTTTGGAACTGGAAGAGGTTGAAGTAACCCACTGGGGGGTTGATTACGGGTCTTTTTGCGAGCACAAATGGGACAGGCAAGCACATAGTCTTTGACATCCTTATATAATCATGGCCACCGTAAGTTTTGTCTAATTAGGGACTTCTGTTTATGCCTGGATGACATGAAAATTTTGCTGTGTTGGCCTAATGAATGAGACAAGCCCTTACAAATGATGGGACGCAGAGACAGTTGGGTGGTCTAATAATGGGACCAGGTTTGGTCTGTTGAGCTGCCAATACCTAGTCTCTAATCCCCCAAGACAGAGTTCCGATAACACGTGATGGTGGAATGATGGTAGGAGCAAGTTTATCATAATCAGGGGAATATTATCTCGAAAGCGCTTCTGGTATGGTGTTCCTGGACCCTGGCCTGTAAGAAATTGTAAAATTAAACCTGTAGAAGAAGAGGGACCAGCGACACTGTCTGGAATTCAATCTCTTGGCTTGTTGCAGGTAGGCAAGATTTTTGTGATCTGTCGAGACAACATTGGGATGTTTGGGCCTCTCCAACCAGTGACCCCATTCATCAAAAGCCATCTCAGTGGCCAGAAGTTCACAATCACCTACATCGTAGTTTCTCTCTGTTGGTGGGAGGTGACAAGAGAATAATGCACAGGGGTGCAATTTGTCAGCAATGGAAGAAATCTGCTACATGATGGCCCCTACCTCTGAATCAGAGGGATCCACTTCTACAATAAACAGTCTTGATGCATCTGGTTGCATAAGGATGCGCGCAGAGGCAAACCTCCTTTGTAATTCTATAAAACTTTGTTCTGCTTCAGGTGACGAACTGAAACAGGTTTTTGTGAACGTGAGGCTGGTGAGGGTACGAATAGTTTGGCTGTAGTGTCTGATAAAACGGCGGTAAAAATTTGGAATCACCCAAAAAGTTGCTTGCGAGATGTAGGAGTGGGCCAGTCCAAGTCAGCTTGAACCATCGCTAGATCCATCTTCACCTGCCAGCTTCTCAAAACATAGCAAAGAAACATGACTGATGAGGCGTGGAACTCTCATTTCTCTGCTTTGATGAACAGCTGCTTCTTTAAAAGACGCTGCAGGACCAGGCGGATATGTCTCTTGTGTTCCTCTATAGATCTTGAAAAAAAATTAGAATTTCGTTGAGATAAACAAGGACAAACTAATTTAGATATTCCCTAACGACATCATTGACAAGCGATTGGAACATGGCATGGAGTATTCATGAGGCTAAAAGGCACAACCAATGGTTTAACCAAAGCAGAAGGGTGTCCTAAATGCTATTTTCCACTCATCCCCCTCTCAAATTCCAATAAAATGGTAGGTATTACGGAGGTAATAATTTAAAAGCTTGGGGAAGTAATGGCAGAGGGTATTTATTCTTAACTGTGGTTTGATTTAAGGCCCTGTAGTCGATGCATGGTCTGACTGTTCCATCATTCTTACCAATGAAGAAAAACCCAGCTCCCAAAGGTGATGTTGATGAACAAATTATGCCAGCGGCAAGGGACTCACTGTGTTTCTCCATGCTTTCCCTCTCTGGTTTGGATATGCTGAACAATTGGTGGGTAGGTAGAGGTGCTCCTGGAAGAAGGTCAATAGCACAAACGTATGTATGGTGAGGAGGAAGAGGAAGAGAGAGAGTTAGTGACTTACTAAAATCATGTGAATGTCATGGTATTCAGACGGTACTCTGATAAAGTCAGCAGGAGAGGGTTCATCTGCAGGATGAGAGACTACTGGAAGAACAGCAGATTGAAGACATGAAGATAAACAGTCTCTGCTCCAGGAGTCTACTGATTGTTCCTCCATTCAAGGTGTGGATTATGGCGGATTAGTCATGGATAGCCTAGAACCTCTGGAGACTGAGGTAAAGGAAAAAAAGTTATTTTCTCACAATGATTTCCTGAAACTAAAAGTTCAATGGGGATAGTGCGATGAGTTATGACAGGTAAGGCTTTACCGTTCAGTGCAGAGACTAAGACTGGGACTGGAAGAGGAATAGTGGGTATCTGCAGTTGGTTAACCAGATTGTCATCAACAAGGTTTTGATCACATTCATAATTGATTAAAACAAAAGTCTAAGGACATGTTACTTGTAACCAAGGTACAAGGTAGTGTTAGATGGGAAGTTTTCTTAGAGTTTCCCTCCACACCTAGCCTGACGTAGTCCTACTCAATTCTAGTCAGAATATGAGTCTGATGCTGCTCTGTAGAGCTGTGATTATGGGGCGTGTTTTGAACGAACCAGGAAAAAAATGCCTCTGCACTCAATTGGATAGACCTACAACCAATAAGAGCAACGGAGTGCGTGACGTATGT